TACAGCCCGTTTTATGACAAACGTATGGGCAATGTTTGCTGTTGTTTTTTTGGCTATTTATACTGCCAATTTAGCTGCTTTTATGATAACGAGAGAAGAATTTCACGAATTTTCAGGATTGGATGATCATAGAGTATGTAAATGTCAAATTACGTTCATTGCATCTCCGTCGTTTTTTAACGGTCGTCATAACCATTTTTTTTTTTTTGTGTTTTTTATTAATTTAGTTGGTTAGACCATATAGTCATAAACCAATGTTTAAATTTGGTACGGTTCCGTTCACTCACACTGATACAACAATAAAAAAATATTTTAAAGAAATGCATAATTATATGCAACAATATAATAAAACTTTGGTTGCCGATGGAATCGAAGCTGTTTTAAACGGGTAAAACAAAATTTTTTTAAAAAATGAAATCATAGGATGAACGTTAAATATTCCCTTTTTTAAAAAAAAATTTTTTTTTCTTTTCAGAGATCTTGACGCCTTTATATATGACGGGTCAGTTTTAGATTATTTAGCATCACAAGATGAAGATTGTAAACTTGTAACAATGGGTTCTTGGTATGCAATGACGGGTTATGGTGTTGCATTTACAAGAAATTCAAAATATGTTGATATTTTCAATAAAAGGCTCTTGGATTTTAGAGAAAATGGTTAATTGACATTTTTTTTTTTTGATTATAACAAAGGAAAAACAATTAAAGTTAATGAAAATGTTTTTGTTTTTTCAGGTGATTTGGAAAGATTAAGAAGATATTGGATGACTGGAACATGTAAACCTGGAAAACAAGAGCATAAATCAAGTGATCCTTTAGCATTAGAACAATTTTTATCAGCATTTTTACTTTTAATGTCTGGAATACTTCTTTCGGCATTATTACTTTTTTTAGAATATTTATATTTTAAATATATTCGAAAACATTTAGCAAGATCAGATCAGGGAGGAATTTGTGCTTTAATTAGTTTAGTGAGTTTTAAAAAATTACAAAAATTTTTTAAATTTTTTTTTGTTTAAACAGAAATTAAATTATTATTATTATTATTAATTGAAATTATATATTTTAGAGCATGGGTAAATCATTAACTTTTCGTGGGGCTGTTTACGAAGCTCAAGATATATTAAAACATCATCGTTGTAAAGATCCAATATGTGACACACATTTATGGAAAGTTAAACACGAATTAGATTTAGCAAGAATGAAAATAAGACAATTATATAAAGAAATGGAAGCACACGGTATAAAACCAAGTCGAAGGTAATTTTTAAATTAAAAAAAATTTTCCTCGATTGAAA